CTGCACCACTTGCCCACTTGCCAACCTTCTAGAAGGACTGCAGCTAGCCTTCTAATCTACAGGTCTACAGCTCGAATCCTGACTACCTATAGACCTACGACAGACCTACCTACCACTGGCGGTTCTACAGGTCGCAGGTTCAACTCTTCGAGTTGACGCAGGTATTGTACACAGGTAAGTTGGGAAACTAGGGATCGAGCCCTGGGATCTGTCTCAGCTACCACAAATTGGTGAATACCGTTTCACAAGGAAATCAATCTGTCAGTCTTTGAGCATTGTTTTTTGTTCTGTGCACAATCAGGAAATGTGCTTTCATGCACTATAAATGAATCATAAAATGATGGGCCAATGAATCATAAAATGATGGGCCATACGATGTGCACAGAGTCTTATAAACCACCGGCACTTAATACTTATGACGGTAATATGATCCCTTGCCTTTTTACAAGGCAGTGCCCTAAAAGTCACCGAACACAGTTGTGTCGGAGAAACATCGCTAGGAGACACACTGGTGGTATGAACTTCCTCGGGCTTGAAATTTTGCTTTCGAGCGAAAAAACAAGATGTGACACACGTACGTCGCTTTTACTGAGGAAAAGGGAAAAAACAGGCAGTCAAATGCTTTACACAGGGTGGCAGCAAATAATGACAGTATTTGCTCTGCAAAGAAAGACGTATTCCATCATAATGTTTCGCGAAAAACAGGCAGTCAAATGCTTTGCGCAGGAGGGCAGCGAAGAATGACAGCATTTTTGCTCTGAAAAGAAAGACGTACTTCGTCATAATGTTTCGCAATGTGGATGTCTGCTTTCGCAAATATCATCTCGACAAGGTCCATTGTCGACTGGAAGAATGGCCACTCTCTGTACATCTCCTGCAACTCTTCCTTGTGACCCTTCTCGAACATTGCTTTCAGACCTTCACCAACTCCTAGCCACGCTGGCAGAATGAAACGCTGAATGTGGACAAAGACAGAGACATCCATTCAGAGGACACAAAAAGAACAGATGACTCGTCAATTACGGCCCATCAACATCGAACAGCGCAAAGACAACAACAAAGGGAATTCAAAAACTAGATACGGGAAAATGCAAGATTTATTTTCGTTAACAATAAAATGTCAATACTTGTTCAATCCACGCTTTTATTTTCAAAGACGGTCATTGAATAGCTCTTTTGTTTTCCAAAAGATTATAAGAGTCTGATCATCCAATGACATGAATTAACAATCTAAGAGTACACACTTACAAAGGCATACTCGTAACTCCTTCAAAAGAGAGTATACACCTATAAACACGAGCGAGTGATCAGAATCTCAGCTCTCTTGTGCGGAGAGTTCAAGCAAGAGATTAATCGCCAACAATAATCATTCAATCTGCCCTTCGTTTTCCAAAAGAGAACCTTTTGTTTTTCACACAGAATTTAGATTTTGTTGACATCGATTATCAGTCTTTATCAGGAACCTTTTTCGAAAGACAATACATGCAAGAAAAAAACAAAACACAAAAAAAGACAGAAATGTTTTGAACCACAGTGTCCTCAAAAATACCCCCCCGGGGGGGGGGGGGGGGGGGGGGGGGGGGGGGGGGGGGGGGAGGGGAGACGGGTAGCCTAATTGTGAGCCAACAAGACCAACCACAAAAGGGTACCCTCCCATCATCACTGGCAATGTGAATATCATCATTCGAAAGACAACACACGTGAAAAAATAAAAACAACAATGCAGAGATATTTTGAACCACAGGGCCCTCTAAAATTTAGAGGGGGGGGGGAGGGGCAATGGGTAGCATAACCACAGGGATAAACCAAAAAAGGGTGGCCCTCCAGTCACAGACGGCAGAGCGAATATCCTCATCGCAGCCAGGTAAACTGTCGAGTGTCGACTGAAGAACGACCACACAACTGGCATGCTTCAACGTTTTAGGAGCGCCTCATGATAATTCAATGTCAAGTCATTAATAGTTGTAATATTTGTCTTTTGCTGCCGAAGTTTTGCATGCTTTCTCTCTGTTTATCCTTCTCACCTTGATTTCACATCACAGCCTAGTGTGCACATAGCAGAATGGACTCTGCAGTGATGATTAGTTCATGGAAAAACGAATGGTGAAGCATTACTTAATAATTTAATACTAACAACAACCACAGTGGCTATTTTATACCAGCCAGCTCATGCAAACGCAATTGATAAGAGTCAACAGACTCAACACTAAAGATGACCACAGTATCGATTTCACGGCAACCAGGTGATGAAAACCCAAAAAGGATGAGAGGTGGTATCTCTAGGACTGCTTTGGATCTATAATATACTACAAAATAAATTAATAATCCATTATGTACAAGGTCAGACTCAAACCAAAAAGCATAAAGTGAAAATAAAATAAAATTACGAAACTGATTGTATGTATTTCCAAATGTTTTGTTCTTTCTGTTTAGATTTCGTGGTCTCTGCATTCATTCTGATTTAAATCCACATCCACAAGGAAAAGAGAGAGATTAAAAATAGTAGAATAGTAAAAAAATACTAATCTGGATGCTTTCTATTCAGCCTACATCCACCTAGGCTAAATGCAGATTGTTGACAAGTCCCGGAATAGTGTGGGTCCAGGCCATAGCGGAAGGAGTAGTTGAGGGATAAGAAAAAGTGAGGCGGAAGGTTATCGCACCGTTTGTGTCCATGCAAAAATCCACGGGATTGCACGGAGCTGATGAATGCCTCCTGATTTCCCTCGCCGCGTCGGACGGCTGCAATCAGCAAGGACATCAAAACCTCTTTGTTAGCCTACCTTTGAACATAAATGTTCTTGCCGAAGCTCATGACAAGTGAAAAACAAAGGAACAACTCCCCGCCTCTTCGTCCACCCACAAACTATTCTCGATACAGTGGCATGCACTGCTTTTCTATTTCATTCATGGAAAAAAAACGATACCTGGATGACTGCAAACGATGGAAGTTGCCCCCCCCCAAAAAAAAGCACGTAAACATAATGTCCAGCAATTCCACGGAGATGTCTGAATTGCTGGACTTAGTGCCCGAAGGCTCGCAAGAGTCAGTCCAGTACAAAATCCAGGTAGTGAGTCAGCCCAGTTCAAAATCCAGGTAGTTGCAAAACAGCACATCAGCATCATGTCCAGCAATTCCGCGGAGATGTCCGAATTGCTGCACTTTGTGCCTGGAGGCTCGCAAGAGTCAGTCCAGGACAAAATACAGACAGGTCCTGCCATATTGTCATGAAGGGCCAAAGAAAAAGCACTTGGTTAACTTGGAAACAAAGTTTGCCCATGAGTGACTTGTAAACGATTCTTCAATTGTCGCCATTGTTGCCTACTCAAACCCCACTGATGGAGAGTCAAGGAGCATGCAAAACTCCTAAAACAGCACATTAACATGTCCAGCAATTCCGCGGAGATGTCCGAGTTGCTGCACTTTGTGCCTGGAGGCTTGCAAGAGTCAGTCCCGTACAAAATACAGACAGGTGTTTAATTTTCTTTCCCTTTTTTACCTGTTCACAGTGTTAAGACATAAATCAAAATTTTCTATCCATAAAAATTCCACAGGAGCCATCACATCACAGTTTTATGGACAGTGGTGGCAGAGCTTTGTATCCTCGAAAGCTTTACCAGTTGGACGTTATCAAACAAGGTCACAACAGGAAAGCACTCCTTTTTTTTCCCTTCAACATTGCACCGGTTTCATTCGTTTATTACAATCATCATCGTTGTTAGCGTCTCCTTTCTTTTTTGTTTGTTTGGTACCCAAAGAAAAGTCCTCATGGCTGTCATTCCCCACCTTCCGATGTTAAGGTTGCCCAGCTCTGCCTCCGGTGTAGCCTCATGGAAGTACTGCAAGAACTGCTCGTTGCGGAAGACGACATCACGGTACTTCTCGCAGCTGCACCATAATCCACAAAGTGCCCACCACACAGAGGACACGATCCAAAAAAGAACGGAGCTTCAGAAAAGGTGAGGGATAACAAAATCATCAACTTTCCATTTACAATAGTGTCAGCCCCCTTGGTATCTCGCCCAGGTGCGGTACTTCTCACAGCTGCAACATAACCCACAAAGTGCCCAGCACACGGAGGACAACCCAAAAAAAGAATGAAACTTCAGATTCTTCAGAAAAGAAGGTGAGGGATAACAAATATCATAAATGTTCCATTTAAAAGGTGTCAATCCCTCGGTATCTCGCCCAGGCAAACTTCAGAAGAATCGAAACTGTGACATTCTGGGTGGTTCGGTCTCCTTGGCACTTTGTTCTTTTCGGCCCGCAGAGGGATCCTGCCTTTGCAAAAGGCACGCTTGGATGTGCCGGCAGTTTGACAACTTCATAAACGCTACTAAAACTCAAAAACATGATTCCAAGTTTAAACTTCGAACATGAAAGCCAGAAGCCGTTAATAATAATTAAAAAAAAAAAAAAAAACCCTTAAAAAGCCACATCCTATACTTCCGGCCAGGTGGCTAAATGATTGTCATGCGAGTATGCATTGTGCTCTTGGCGATGGGACCACGAGAATAAAAACCCAAGCCAATCTGAAAATTTCAGGGGCACAAGGCTAGCGGACCAAAAGGACTGGTGGCGCCAGCCAAAAGAAAAACAAAAAGGTTGTGCTGGCACTTCTGTACAGCGGGGGCATCCCCCTCAGCAAAAACATGTTCAGATGCACCGGTGGCTTCAGTAGAGTTTGATTTGATTGGCATGCGCATATGCACTGTGCTCTTTTCGACTGGACCATCAGTTTTTCTTCAGAGTAGAGTGAAAACAAGAACCGGCAAGTCGAAGCAGGATCATGGATTCTTAATTTCAAGTTTTCAACTCAAGTCTGATCTTAGAACCTATTTATGAACCCTGCTTTTCCACTTCTTCAGATGGCTTCAGACCGGGACGCAGTGCTCACACGGCCCTTAATGTTTTAATGGGTACCTTTCACGGTGCGCAATGGTATATTGAAGGATCCCTGGAGGCCAAAGGCCCTCGAGCCGTAAATCACGGAACTCTGTATAAGATCATCCGGCGAACAATCCGAAACAATCCGAAACAATCCGAGATAAACCGATTCTCAAACTAATCCGCTCTGGACTACCAAGCTTTTTTTCATATGCCAAACGGAGAGATTGAAGAGGCAACCAGGTGCCGCCAGGCGGCGGCGGCCCTTCGGCCTTGGTTCCCTACTATCAAATATATACCTTAATGAACTCGACTACTTTATGGAAACAACTATCCGTGAATATAACAAGGCTTGAAGAGCAGACTCTTCACGTCTGAATCCCACACATTGGAACCGAAGGATGCATTACATCCGCTTCGCAGATGATTTTCTAGTAGCAATCTCTGGTCCACGATCAGAAGCAGTGAAACTGAGATCTAAATTGGAATCGTTCCTTAGAGACAAACTCCAATTAACACAGTATGGACAAAACCCATATTACCCATGTGTCGAAAGGAGTACCAGAAGGAGCTCACATGAAAAGAAACACTAGTCCATCCGCTATGGCTCCAATGGCCAGCTGCCAACCTCTTCCTCACCCAAAACCTCTGAAAAGACTGAGCATGCATACACCCAGATATACATGGTAAGAACCCTGTCTGTACCATGCAGACATCTAGGCACATTCAGACAGGGGATTTTCACTGTAAACCCACAACGGTCCGAAGGGCACATTCTCAAAACTTCGTATCCACTCGACAGGGATTTTCACTGGAAAACCACAGCAGCCTGAAGGGCACATTCTCAAAATTCTATATCCACTCGTTTCTTATTAAAACAAATCAAATGAAACCCTCAACCGCTCCCACTGAGCTCCTCTCTCTCTCTCTCTCTCTCTCTCTCTCTCTCTCTCTAGCGCGCACGTGGATGCCTTGTAAACATCTCTCTGCCTCGCTGTGTTCAATTTACAGGTAATCATCTCTCTCTGCCTCACTTTATGGGTGTTGAATAAAACATTTTAAGGCCACATCGCGGAGTTGATGGAAGCGACACTACCCTGGTTCCCAGCACGTGCTGCTCCCCCACAAATAAGATCGGCGCCATCGCACACCTCTGCCCCTATAAGATAGGAACCATACGGATCACCACAGTCGTGGATCCGTAGATATGGGCCTCGTTCAAGCCGGTGACCTTGGCCACAAGAGCCAAGTGTCTTGACCACTACAACCAGGACACGGTGTTCACAAGTGGAACCATACCGGTCATGATATCCACCCCGCCCCTGCAAGGCTATAGTGTCCGACTTGACACAACATACACCAGCAGATGGACGCGGCAATTCTCACACACTTGCACGTGACCCCCCACTGATGCATTATACCCAGTCACTCAAGGCCCACATTTGTACTCTGCTCTTCCAGTAAAAAGTGAAATTCATCATGCAGCTGCCCCTTACTTTGAAAACCTTACAGAAAAACTGTCGGTGACTTTCTCCTTTTTTTTCCCCTAAAGAGAGCAAGTCACAAATTCTCATATGCAAACATTGCTGTCACATGCACAGTATAGTTACAGCCAAGAACTCTTAATAATATCCACTCCTTAAGCAATCCATTTTTGAATGATTTTTCCCCTTTTGGAGTCCCCAAAATAACTTTTCTGTTTTCTTTCTGAATTTTAGCACGGCTTGCCAAATGTGTCTGGCAACGTGTGGAGAAGATCCCACTTTTGATACAAGTATTCAAATTTCCATAACCTTTTTATTTGACCTTTTTCCCCAAGTATTCGTGCCCTGCAGAGTCCATGCCGACAATCTGATTCCCTATGACATCGTCCACGCTGACAATCCAGCATCATGTGTGACTCTGAATGATACTCGTATAAGACACACATCTGCAAGTCAGTACAGAGGATCTGAAACCTCACCTTATTTCCGCCATCTCCTCCATCAAATCACGCCACTTTTGTGTGCGAGAGGGCATCGGAGGGTGGACCGTGGCCAATAAAACCTGCAGTTGCAAAAAGCACATCGCAGTCCAACCAATAAGCGACTGTCATGCAGTCCTTACATGATCAACGGTCATCAAACAATAAGACTCATGCAAACCTCTGTAACAGAAAAAGTTAGAACACGTTTCCCAGCCTATCACGGCAAACGTACGAAACTCCGCACAGCCTCGTGACAGCCAGTGCAATAGATCCAGAACACAGTGTCCTGTATTATACTGCCACATACATCAGTCCTTAAAGTACCAATTAATCACAGCCACAAGTCGACATTCAAAAGGAGTAAGCCTTTCTCAGTCACTGATTCTACCGTGATAGTCTCTATGATCGACGATGCAAAAAACATGTCGCGTACTTCACATGCGTAACGTATGAAAGTCGTTGGTTTATCATACATATAATTTCGGGCAAGAGAAATCGGTCCGGACAGGTGAGGCAAGTCGACACCGATAGCAAAAGGAGTAAGGCTTCCCTTGTCACCCCTGTCCACCGGGTTGTCATCGGTCCGCGCAGGGTTGAAAAAACGACCCCAGCCATTCCTCAGCCCGCACAGGGTTAGCCATTTTTTTGCAGGAAGGTCATTGCATTCATGAAATACAAGGGAAAAGAGGGTGATGGGTATCAGCAGCCATCTTCGCATTGAATGCCATGCCATATGAGGAGAGGACGGGGGGGGGGGGGGGGGGGGGGGGGGGGGGAGAGAGAGAGAGAGAGAGAGAGAGAGAGAGAGAGAGGGACCTAGCCCCCGGCCACCAAAGCAGCTGCAG